GATCTATTAACAATCTGCGTTATGCAGAGGACACAACCCTGCTCGCTGAAACTGAGGAGGACCTCATGCACTCACTACAGAGGGTCAAGGACTGCAGCCTTCAATATGGACTGAGGCTCAATGTTAAGAAGACAAAAATTCTCACCACTGGACCAATCGGTATCATCAGGATGGATGGTGAAAAGATTGAGATTGTTCACAGCTTCAGTTTGCTCAGCTCCACGGTCAACACTCTTGACACCAGTAGGCAAGAAATAAAAAAACGTATTGCGATGGGGTGGGGGTAGGACTGAAAAAAACTGGATAAATTATGTTTGCTGCTTGAAACCGATGAGGGAGAGAATAGTTTAAAATTAATATATTTTAGGGCATCATGATTATCATAAGAGTCTGGAATGAGGATTGCAGAGTGGAGTATACTTGGGGTGGGAGTGGGGAGGTGTGGGGTGGGGGGGTTCTGTACCAATGAAGGAGTTTGTCTTTTGCTTTTCAAGGAGAGGAGCGAACTGGGATTGGGGGTGGGTGGGAAGAAAAGTGCAACAATGAATGAATAGAATTCTAAAATCTCTGTAGATGTCCATTGAAATTAATAATAATAATAATAAATTTTTAAAAATTGCTAGCATGGAAGCATTGAGGAGATTCAGGTTGACTCCAGGTCTAGTGTTTTATTCATTTATACATATTTTATCATCAACACATTCTTATGAAGAAGATATTACTGATATACGTACACCTGAGAGATGTGTTTTGCCCAAAGTCATGGAGAAAGTATAGTGATTCTGGATTTTTAATCTATTTGGAATACAGCTTTTTGATAGAATTATTCAACCACATTTTCATGAATGGATTCCATTCGATACTTCCATTTGTTTTTACTTAGGTACTATCAAGTCAAATGTGACTCATAGAGACCTCTGGAACAACTTATCAGAACCCTGTCTGATCCTGTGTCATACTCACAATCTCTGACACACTCAAACCCATTTCTGCAGTCACTTTGTAAATCCACCTGGTTGAAGAATCTTCCTCTTTTACAGTGTATCTTCACCTTCCCAAGCATGATGTTGCTTTCCAATTAATAGTCTCTTTTAGCAATGTGCCCAAAGTATGTGAGATGAAGTTTTATCATCTTTGCCTCCATTTATCTAGTTTCATCCAATACTTTGCCAGATAGGTTGTAAGCACTTATGCTGAGTGGGGTATTGTCTTGGCAATGGAAATACACCAGAAGAGGGGCCAGGTACAGTTCTTGCACTCAAGAAGCTTCTAATCCACCAGGGAGATGAGACATTTAATAATTACACTTAATAGAAGGTAGCCTGTCTGTTAAGTTTTCACCAACTCCTTTTCTTCGACTGAGCTTTGAGATAATAGCAGTCCCAGCAACTTTGATGCACCTTGTGAGAGAGCCTGAAGATAATGGTCTTATCTATATACCTCATTCAGTTTCCTGATCCAAAACAGTCATGTCCAGATTTGACTCCTCACACTATTAGATGGTATATAACCAAGTATTATATGCCATTGCATTTTGAAGTAATTTGCTATATGGCAACTGATTACTAATATACTGTTTAATACCTTTGAATATTTTTTAAAAAAATTCAAATAGTAAACGTGAAATATACTGTTGCTTTTAAAAAAACCATATTTAAAACTGCCAAACCAATTTAGCATGATAGATGAGAGGAATTATGGTATTTAAGGAATATAATATAGCTTACAATATGTAGACATGGAAACTTCTGGTATACACATTGTTGTTGTTGTTATGTGCCATTGAGTCACCTGCGACTCATAGAGACCCTGTGTACAACAGCTCTAAACCCTGTTCTATTTTGTGCCAATCTCACTGTCTCTGACACACCTACCTCCATTACGCCAGTGACTGAATCAATCCACTTCATAGAGGTTATTTCAATACTAGAATATAAACTTACAAAAAGTATGAATGTTTTTTCTTTTTCCTGATAACTTTTTCTTAATAACCATATGTTTTGATTATTTGTTAAACAAAACAGATCTGAAGTAAATACATATTTATAATTTCAAGCTATATCATTTGATATTAGAAGAATATAAGATCACCATTTTACTATTTCAAATAATTTGATAATTTTAATATGATGAATGACTAAAATTCACTTCAAAGATTTATATTATTACTGTTTAAATCCAGTATACACAGTATAACATATATGGGACACTTGGGAACACCCCCTGTACATTTAACACAGAGCTGTTGGAAGAAATTTCAACTCACTTTATATCTTAAAACCTGCTATTATTAGGCAAAATTTAACATAAAAACGATATGACATATGGTTAATGTGATCATATAACTTATGTTTTATGCTAGTACACTTAAAAAGTTCAAGTGTACACACACTATTCAGAATTGTGCTACAGCTGCAGGCATTAACCACTGCTGAACTGGCAAATTAGAACATATGGTACTCCTGTACAACAACTTATCTGTTTTAAGATAATAATGAGCTTTTTCTATCCTAATATGACTTTGATTTCATCCCACCTGAATTTCAGAATCATCTCAGGAACAGTTTAGAGGCCTTGAACACTAA